TATTAGAATATTGTACTAGATAACCAGATTTAGATTAGAATGATTGAAATAAGTAGTTGTGTATGTAGACTTTCCTCTACAGGTGAATAATAATTGAATCTAGGTTGAAAGGGACAAAAGTTGAAAATTATTCAACGATACATTTATCTATTTGTCCGATTAAGTGTTTTTCTAGAGTCTATTGAAAAGGGATATATATATATGTATATCGAAAAGCTTGTCTGCTCTAATGACCGGATAAGAGCTTTACAAATTGCATATTGAGTTGCACTCGCATAGGAGACAAAAATATGTTCGTAAAATTGACAAAAACATAAATTATTGTTAACAGAGTTGAAGAATTAGGTAATAGTCATACATAATTTTATGAATGAGCCATAGGTTAAACCAGGTTTTATCTAATGTATCGTATGACGGCAGCATACGCACCGATTCTTCTGAAGAAGGTACTATAGATAGTTAATTCTGGAAGGATGAAATAATATAAATAGGTTTTATATCCTTATTTTTGTTTAATGGGGATGGTTTAGCATTTCCTTGACTGAAGAGCTACCTTATTTTGAACATAAGGCTTCAACCGCACATCTTCATCTAATCGTATTTTCAAAATTTCTTTTAAGCTGGCTCCATGTTTGCCTGTAAGCTTTCATTCCTTCCTCATACGATGTCCATTATGGCACTTTCAGATGCCTAATCCGTCGTTTCTCAGTAGTGTTCTATTCCAGGCTATGCCTGGCGCGTGATTATACTCAACGGTCTCTTCGGTGTGTGTTTGATCCATCTCCATTTATTTTCAGATACGTATTGGGTGAAAGATTCTTGGTTGCTTTGTTGCCAGAGTTCCTTAATGCTTGCTCTTTCACGCTGGAATTTTGTTCCTTAGGCAGAATGCAACAGATTTTCGTAGTTATTTGGAATAATCGAGGTATGTCTTGCTTTTCCAAAGTTGACTGTCTTTGACATCCTCATCCATACTATCTGTAGTTGAAACAATGCAGCCAAGGCAAGTGAATAATAATAATAATAATTTGCTTTATTCCAAAACAGTTCTTGCGATACAGAATGGAATTCTCAGCATTTCACACTACAGTTTTGCATTCAGTTAGTACACTAACAATAAATAAATAGAATTCTACATAGATTAAGGAGATCTCAGTTCATTATGACAACATATTGGCATGTCGGTAGCAAAGCCAAAGTTGAAACAGTGTTTGAAGGTATTAGAAAAGTAGGTGCTATCATATTTACTGGTGTAAGCGGTAACAAAAGAGGTCGAGATATATAGAGTGTGAAAGAACGAAGAAGAATGTTTTAAATAGAGTTTGTAAGGAAGAGAGAAACAAAGCAGCACATAACAGGAAAAAAAGAGAGAGAAAAGGAAAAGAAAGAAAGAAAACGTTGTACCTATAAATGATATGCGTTGGAAAGACGAGATCCAATTGTTCTACTGACTATTTAATAAGCTACAAGGTTTATGCCTAATGCTTTCTTTGTCGCACACAACACGAGCTAAGTAGGGTATGGTTAAGTTTTTGTACTTGCTGGTGCGAGCATATAGTTTTCTATATAGGATTCTGGTTTTGCCTGATGAGATGCAAGGGGAGAGTTGTGAGTGAAGAGGGTGGTGTGAGTTAGATAAAATGGATTTAGCCCATTTTTCACATGAGTCCAAATGCCTGTCGACCAGAATATTAACAAGCTGGTTAAGTGGCACGTTGCTTACCCTGCTGACAACCTTTAACATCCTGCGTAATATGTTATAGTCTTTCTTCAGTAGCCCGGGAAAAACTAAGGGGGAACAATAGAGAATAATAGGCAGAATGCGAGAATTAGCGAGTTGTAGGAGTAAGGGTTGGGTAATACCAGAATGTTTTAACTTCTTTTTTGTAGAAGGTAAGACGGAATATTTTATTTGAAATCGTCAAGATATGAGACGACCAGGAGAGATCAGCAGATAGAATGGCGCCTAGGTATTTAACTTCCGACTTGGTTTCTATTTCAGTGCCATCTATGTTGCATACCTCGTGAGAGCCAAACAGTTTGTTTAGGTCGGATTTATGCCTAAAGGTGAAATTGACTGAGGCTACTTTAGAATTTTCCCCATTGTCTTCCCTGTATTCATCTGAAGTCCTGTCTTCATTGATTCTTCAATTTCTTCTTCTTCTTTCAATTTTATGCGACATTAGACGTCAACCGTGAAGACGTCTAGATCTTCTGGAGTCTTTTCTGTCGGTCTTGCCAATGTCTATCTTCTCTCTCACCATGGTTTGTCGCATATTCCAATTCTGTAGAATCAGGAATACCATCGGTGTTAGTAAGCAGCATTTGCTTACTCCTGTCTTCCTATGAAATATTTGACTGAGCTTTACTTTGTGATTCACTTGCTATATGGCATTATCGCATGGTTGTTAAGTGAGGCATTTAAAGGTTTGAAACAGTGTACTCCACACTGTTACATAGCTTTGCAAATTACTTCGGGGTAGACTCTATCCAAACCCTTTTCAGAGTCGATTAGGTTGTGATGTTGTGCGCTCTATTTGATAATGATGCGTAGCGTTGTAATTTGGTCCATATGTTATATACCTTTCTTGATTTCCAAGCACCTTTTGTTCTCTACAGAATGATGCAACCTAATATTTTGTTTAGGGTGGAGAGGAGAATGATTCTGCGGTAGTTTTCGCAAAAGCTGAAGTTGCCCTTCTTTAATAGTTTAAACAGGGCAGCTTCTCTTCCAATCATCATGCACCTTTCCATTCTGTAGAACCATCTGTAATAGTAGCGTGAGTTTTCAGGTTCATCTAACATTTAGGTATCTTTTAAAACCACTGATATAAGCCTAAACATAATTAGACGGAATAAGTGAATACAATGAACTCTAAAGGAACAAATAGACTATTCTATCATTACACTGATAGTGAAACTTAAAAGTTAATAAATTTATTTTTACCAGGAAATTATAATTAAACATCTTAAAAAGAAAGAATTTAGTCCAAAAATAGTACTCTTTTTGAATTAATTTCTCATCAATGACTCTATACTTATTGATATTGATAATCTGTGTGTTTTACTGAAAATGTGTTATTAAAATACATATTTTTTAAGTGTGATCACGGATTGATACCAGTTAGAGAACCACTGGAAACCAAAGAGTGCTAAACAGCTGTTTTGTCCTAGTTCGCGACTCTTCACAGTACGAAACTATCGAATTTCAAACTCCGGACCTCCAGATTACAAGACAAGCTCGTAGATCATTCAGCCACTGGGAACTGTCTCAATGGCCCATGAATTCCAGCTTCTACCAAAGTGGGATTTTATCGCAAACACCAGGTAATGTCACCGGTGAGTACCTGCCTTCACTTCCAACTAGGTGAACCCCACTGGTCGCCAATTCGTGCTAAAGTCACAAACTGGTAAGAGTCAGAATTTATGGGTCAAAGAATCGTGTTCCCGTGGTTGAGTGGTATACAGGCTTGACTTGTAACTTGAAGATCGATAGTTTCGAATCTCTGTGGATATGTACTGGTGATGAGGACCAAACTAGGACAAAGCAGCTTTCGATTACTCTAGGCTGGTTTCCGATGGATCTCAAACTAATGTCAATCCTCTGGCTAGACTTGAAACAAAACAAATCTCTACAGATTGACTCTTGTAAATACGTATTAGTGATGAACTTGATTGCAGAGTAAATATATTCCCCTCCTCTCCGTGATTTCTAAATAACTTTAATTTCATAACACGATGAATTTCATTTCGCCATGTAACTTCGCTACTATGGGGGCCAACTCATTAAACAGTTGTACGATAATGCTGCATGCCAAGTAGTCCACAACGGAAAACTCATTGAATCCAACGAGGTGAAGACGGGAGTAAGACAAGCTGGCTGGCTGCCTACTATTTCCAATGATTTTCCTGAGTGCAGTAGACTGGATAATGAGACAGACACACAGTGGGCAACGAGGAGACAGGCATAATGGTTGCTCACAAAAATTTTAGAGGATCTGAAAATCGCCCACGATGATACATGTCTGATTTCCCACAAACTGGAAGATATGCAAGTGAAAAGCAACAAGTTGGTAGAAGAAGAATCAAAGACAGGAAGGACTTCAGGTGAACATAGAGAAAACGGATGTGGTGATGAAGATTCCTAGCCAACAGCGACAGCAACAACAACAGACAACAATTAGCATAAATGGGAGAAAGCTGAAAGAAGCAACCTCCTTCACCTATCTACCTACCTGGGAATCATCGTTTCAGCTACAGGCGGTCGGAAGTGATGAGGATATCATCAAAGTGAGGATCGGGAAAACAAGGTAGGGTTTCATTTCTCTCAAGTCTTTGTGGAGGTCAACAGAACTTATCATGAAGAATAAGATCCTGATTTTCAACTCCAATGTGAAGTCAGTGCTACTATATGGATTAGAGACTTGGCGTGTCACGAAGGGCACTTCGAACAAACTATAGACCTTCATCAACATCTGTCTTCGCTCAATGCTGCTCAAGATGAGAAGGCCGGTGAGAAAAGATCAACAACAGCGAAAAATATCTGGGAGCACACCAACCCAGCAGGAACCAGTTGTACAAGAAATATGCAGGAAGAAATGGAGGTGGATAGGCTGGCCATACTCTGAGAAAACAAACCATAAAGTGCGTGACATCACACGCCAGACCATTGCTCGAGTTGAACCCGAATGGGAAGCAGCGAGTTGGTCGTCAGTGCGAGGGTAACATGGAGGCGGAAGTGATGCGAAGAAGAAAGGGGAGCATGTTGAAAGACGTGGAGCCAGGTGGAAAGGTTGTCAGAGAAGCGAACGCAATGGAGATGTCCGGCTGAATCCCTATGTTCCTCTAGGAACCAAAGAAGGCAACAATAATGTATAATAGCTTCAAAATTATTCACCTTGTACATATCCTTTCCACGTCTTTTCGCAGTCACTCTATAACAGAATATGACACTGACTATTAATATATACTTTAAAATCTGCAGACATTTAGGAACTCACCTGATTTATTTCTACATGTTATGCAACAGATTTACTATGTGTATCCGTTGAATTTTTGCATTTCATAGTGAAAAAATAATCCACAAGTAGGTAGAGTGGAATAAGTAGACTCAGTGTGCCAAAGCATATTCCCATGATTTCACCTATTTTGTTTTCAAAAGATAAAAACAATAAAAATTATATAAATTAGAGTAAATATGAGAAGTAGATTGTGCTAAGAAGTGAGAAAATTTATGGTAATACCGTTAAATTATTATAAATGTAGATAGACAGACAGACAGGCAAACAGATAGATAGATAGATAATTCTGTAAATATGAAAGAAACCTATTTAAGAAGCACATAGTGTTAAACTGTTTGTGCCTTCATATAACTGAATAAGTTCATAATTACCTCACTGCAAATGCAAATTCATCTAGTGCAGTTCAGTGGACAAACTGCAGACAAATAAAAATGTAGTTGGCACAGTCGACTGAAATGTTTTTATTTTGTTGAAGAGTTTCTTTTTATCTTCTTGTTATTGATGGAACTATCTGAGAAATCCTTGAATAAGCACACTGATAATGACGTAGTGAATAATAACTGAAACCTGAATTAAAAGGTACCTACTGATTAGAAGAAAGGATAACCTGTAAAATAACTAAGGAAAGGCAGCTTAGGCGTCTGCGTGGAATAATGCTCTTGTTTGCACCAAGTAAAATACTAAGTTGCATCATCCTGGAGAGACTAAAAGTTGCACTGGATGTAGAACTTCGACAGCCCGGAACAACCTGAATTCAGGAAAGGCAAATCAAAAGGCAGATCATATTGCAACTCTATGCATCCCTATCGAATAAATCACGGGATATCAGTCAGGTGTCTACCGCGACGTCTCCGACAGCGTTGATTGAGAAGTAATCTGGAAACTACTCCAAAACTATGGTGTGCTCTAAATGGTTATCAACTTAATCCGACGGATATATGACAGTTCCACATGTAAAGTGATCCAAAACGGATACTTCGGCGAGTCATTTGAAGTAAGGACGGGAGTACGACAAGAGCACCAACTAATGTCATCGATAGTATTCCTAATTGTGGTGGACTGGACTACGCGGAACAACATGTGTAGGGACCGAGAAGACACAAATACGTTGGATTAACAGATAAGAAGACTCTAGGAGATCTAGATATTGCAGGTGATTTATGTCAAATGTCAGACATATAGGTGGAAACCAACATGTTGCCAGAAGAGTCAGGCTGCTAAGAAAGAACTTCAAATGAACAGAGGGAAGACGGAGGTGATGAAGATAACTAACCAACCAACAACACGAAGCACCAATCATTAAAAACGGAAGAAATTTGAAAGAGACTACTTCCTTCACTTATCTAGAAAGCGTCGTTTCAACCACAGGCGGAATGGATGAAGTTGTCAAAGGCACAATCATAAGGGCAAGGTACATGTTCACCACTCTAAAATCAGCTTCAAAATCTTCTCCACTTCGCCGCACAAACAACAAAATTCAGATTTTCAATACCAGCATTAAGTCACTTCTTTTATATGGGTCAGGAACTTGGAGAATGTGGCACGATAAGCGTTTCCAACAGCTAACTGCAGACTTTCATCAATGGCTGCCTTCGCTGGTTCCATAGTGAAGATCAGATGGCTGGCATGAAAGAATTGGAAACTTGAAACTCTGGAAACGAACTAATCAATAACCTGTTGCTCAAAAAATATGGTGAATAGAATGGAGGTGGATTGGACACATCCCGGGGTGACCGTTGGGTGACATCACACCTCACACCATTGCTTAACTGGAACCTGAATGGAAAACGACGATTCTATCGTTCTAGGAGGAGATGACAAATTAAAGGCAATCGTACGACCAGCTGAAACGGATCGCTGAAAGTGGAACCAAGTGGATATGGGCTTTTTGATACCTATGTACCCAAGGAAATGTTACTAATACGAAAGCTCTATATAACTGTATAGATTCAGTTAGAAGTTAAGGAAAGCTAACTTATGTACCCTTAATTTACTATGGTGACAAAAATTATAAATTTTTGACAAAGCACCGACCAAATAATGAGAGATTCTTTTCAGTTTTCGCTCTTATATTTTTGTTATTTCCAATAAATAAACTTAGTTTATTTGTCACATTTTGTAGAGTAGGATTTTAATTTATAAACTATTTCGGGTTAGCCCACGGATTGATATCAGTTAGGGAACGAGTGAAAACCAGTAGGTACTGGAGAGCCATTTCGTCCTAGTTTGCGCTCATCATCAGTAATCACCCGCTGGGTTTCGATCCCAGGACCTTCTGGTTACAAGGCAAGCTCGTAGACCACTAAGCCACTGGGACCTCAATTCAATGACCCATGAATTCTAACTTCTAACAATTCGCGACTGTAGCGTGACCACCAACCAGTGTCAGCAGTTGGAACTCCATCCTTCTTCCCGACTAGATGAACCCCACTAGTCACGACTTCTCACCAGAACTCCAGGCAACTTCATCCTGTAGTCAATTACTAGCCAGCAACGGATTGACTTTCAAGTTCCCACCGATGGCACTGCCTGGTGGTCGCTCTCCATTCACGAACTGGTGGAAATTAGAATCCATGGGCTGGCCGATGAAGAGTTGGATCCCAGTGGCTGAATGGTAGTCAGGCTTGTCTTGTAAACGGAAGGTCCTGGGCTAGAACCCCAGTGGGTGCAGACTGACGATGAGTCCCAGACTAGGACGAAACATCTCTCCAATATTCCTAGCTGTTTTTCAATGGTCCTCTAACTGATACCAATCCGTGGTCCAACCTGAAACAAAAGGGAATCCCTACAAAATTATAAACTATTGAAAATCCTCCATCAATAAATCATAGGTATATATATTTACTTACCAAAAGGACTGAATAATTTGTTCATTGGTGTGAATTGTGTCATACTGAAACCTGCATTCGTACTTTCAATTTGTACAGTGAACGTGACAAGACTGAAATTATTCAAACAATATATATATATATATATTTACATTGAACAATAAATAATAGTTTAAGCTTTGACAGTCGTATTCATCAAGACTGTAATATGAAAGATAAGAGAAACTTAAATATACACTTCTGAGTAAGAGTTCATTGTTGTAGAGTTTTAGAATATAGAAACCCTGTATAGAAGTACAAGTAAAATATCAGTTTGAAAATGACAGAACTGTAAGTTTTCATGAGATTCAGTAACCCCACGGATTACGAAGTAAGACCTTTATTGGTATGAAAAAGGATAAACTAAACGCCAGCTCTTTTTCATCAGTGTAAATAATATTTCTGTAATTTGTATTTAACTAAATATTCATTTTCCAATGAAGAAATCACATAACTGGTGTGTAAATGGATGAAAAATGGAGTGTCCTATATTGGTGATATGGTAACCAAGGTCATTTTAGGAGTAAACCAATCAGAAATGGGTTTACTTAAAATAGTGCCCACTATTTTATTGATCATGATTTGCAGACTAATTGACATCAGCTGACATTGGTTACAGAACCATTGGAAAACCAGCTGGGAGTACTGAACAGCTGTTTCATCCTAGTCTGGGACCCTGCTTCATCAGTACGCATGCACCGGGGTTCGAACCCAGGACCTACTGGTTATAAGGCCAGCTCGTAGACCATTAAGCCACTGGAACCCGATCCAATGACCCATGAATTCTAACTTCTGCCAATTCACGACATAGAGCAACCACTAGCAAGTGTCTTCGGTGAGTATTTGTCCTCACACCTGACCTGCTGCACCCTACTGGTCACGACTTCTCACTAGAACCCCAGGTAACGACCTACATGAATAGGGCAAGTCGCTAGTGAGCATCTCATCGGTATTCAAGCGTGGCTTAGTGGTCTACGAGCTGGCCTTGTAACCAGAAGGTCCTGGGTTCGAAGTGATGAAGCAGAGTCCCAAACTAGGACGAAAGAAACAGCTGTCCAGTACTCCCTGCAGGTTTTCAATGATTCTGTAACCGTTATCAGCTCATGATGACATCCTGTAACAAATCTAAATCCTTTATCTCCATTGAAACATCATCATATACCCAGTGATTTGAAAAAACGTGGTTTTACTTCATTGTATAGTGAACGACGTTGTTAAAAGTGGAAAAGATAACACAGATAAACCCATTTCGTGGGTGTTCTCTACCTGGTTAGCAATCTCTACTACCCGACATAAGCAGTATACAACTACTCATCTCAATTAATCAGTAGTATATTTATTTTTATGCAAATATTCTTGCTTTTTTGATTACCACCATTTATGTTGCACGCTAATTAGGGGAATCAGTAAACAGTTAAAACTATACGATTAGAAAGAATATACTATCGACCAGTATACATACCTTGTCGCATCAAGTCTTTGTGATTGTTGATAATCGATTGAAAATGTATTTATAATATGCTTATTCCATTGAATAATAAAATTCATACTTGTCTGAAATACCTCTAATCTCTGAATACACGTAGCAATACTTTCACCTAATTTCTCTAATTTCAGATTGTATATTGAATCAATATGAATTTGGATCTGTGATGAACAAAGAAATTCACTAGAACCATCACTTGTCAATCCTTGAGAGCCTCCTCTTTCAAGGAATTGAAGTGAATGTTGAACGGATGCAGCAGAGGATACTGAAGGTGAGGATGAAATCAAAGAGGCAGCAGACGTTGAAGATGATTGTAAGGATGATGACGATGAGGTTAAAGAGCTGCTGGATGAAGAGGATGATGACGAGGATGCAGAAGGAGGGGAATGTGATCCCAGTGTCATTCCAAATCGATTATTATTTGTTCTGGTTGTCATTTGCATACGTTTTGCTGACAACAGCTTCAAATACTTCCTCAAGATATCTTTTAGTTTTGAGTTGTATGTGGCATTAGAGAAAAATAATTCAACAACTTGTAGTTCAATTAGGGCGGGATTTTTTATTATTTCATAAAAGCTTTTATCCCCATTGTTGATTTGATGATCATAAAGAGGTGGAGTAATATTGCTTGTCTGGGGAGAATTGGCTTTGAGCAGTGAAGATAAATGTGTATGCGGCGAAGGGAAGGGATATGCTTTGGTCATATTCAACTGTGAAGGATACTCTTTTATGATTGGAGAATGCATGGAATGATTGTAATTTGGACAATGAAAGGAACTAGTGGTATAAAAAGCTTCAACTAGCGATAGCCTACACAAATCATCTTGAAATGTTTGTGTAATATTGATGAGAGTTTCGAAATATTTGATGACCATCTTTGAACAAGTTGCATCTGTATGCGTCATCTAAACAAAAATATAGATGAAAAAACACAAATTTTTAGAACTTATCCGCAGTATTTATCATTAAATTTAAATCTTTAATAATTGCCAAACTGTGGTAATTACCTTGTAGATATTGAATAACAGTGTGATCCACTATTCAAGATCCTACGGGAAACTCACTAGCCATAAGTACTCATATCATGAGGATCTTGAAATTGACAGAATTACTTAAGTCAATTAATGGTCACTACCCGACAGTTTTCCGAATAACTGGCATCAAAGTTGCATGAATTTACCTGCTGCCGCTCAAATTTTAATCTTTCAAACCAACAGTTTGAGAGAGGTAATTACAAATTTCAGTGACATCTGGTGGCGGGGATTAAATGTGGATTGAAGGTATGATCTAATTTAGTTTCATATCAATGAGATAATTGGTTTATTCAGATTGATCCATGATAGAAGTATTATCAGCCGTTCAATTAAGACTTACATCTAGTTAGAATTCGACCAGATGGTCTCTATAGCTTAATTTGAATATATAAATGGCAAGTAGTAGTCATTTTGTAGTGCTTCTCTTTCAGCAGAGTTTGAGAATTTATTTATTAAATGAATATTTATTTCAGGTTTCACCACGGATTGATTTCAGTTATGGAACCAGAAAGTACTGGATAGCTGTTTCGTCCTAATTTGATACTCGTCGCCAGTACCCACCCACCGAGATTCTAAACCATGAACCTTCCAGTTACAAGGCGAACTCGTAGAACACTCAGCCATTGGGACCCCGTTCAACGGACTAAGAATTCTAACTTATACCACTTCGTGATTTTAAGCCCGACCACCAGTCAGTGTCACTGGCGGGTATTTATCTTCACTCATGACCGTATGAAACCACTGACCATGACTTCCCATTAGAACTGCAGAATACGTCGTTCAGTAGGCAATTACTAGCGAGCATCAGATCTATTTTCAAAAATTAGTTTGTAGGTATTAATATATGTGTAAAACTTTGGCACTGTGGTAGTAAGTAATTCCATATTAGTTTGTTTATTAGATATATCACACAGTGAGCGAAACAGTGTTATTTACTGGATGACCAGGTTTCGAATAAAATTTATTATTGTTCATAATCATATCAATTGTAGTCACACGACTGTGAAACTTGAGTTTTATAGTTTTCTATGTCCTCTCCTATTTGTCGTAGGGGTAGTAGAATTCTCCAGACATCTTGGACAGGTGTTGAATCATTCCTATTACTCGTGTTTGCAGTTGATTCGATAAACAAAGCTTCTATTGTAATCAATCTCTCCCTCCACCCCACTGTTGCATTAGATTTTAAAACTGTCTGTCATCCTATCTCATCCTATTGTATGGTTGTGTGTAACTGCATGTAGTGCTTGCGACAGTTGAACTATTCTCTAGATTTCTTATCTTATTTGGGTCAACCAGTCTACATTTTGTTAGGTTTTTATGGTCGGCTACTCTGAATGCCCCTGTTCTACTAGTTTGATCTATGTATTTGACCTGACAGTCATTGCAAGCACTACATGCAGTTACACACAACCATACAATAGGATGAGATAGGATGACAGACAGTTTTAAAATCTAATGCAACAGTGGGGTGGAGGGAGAGATTGATTACAATAGAAGCTTTGTTTATCGAATCAACTGCAAACACGAGTAATAGGAATGATTCAACACCTGTCCAAGATGTCTGGAGAATTCTACTACCCCTACGACAAATAGGAGAGGACATAGAAAACTATAAAACTCAAGTTTCACAGTCGTGTGACTACAATTGATATGATTATGAACAATAATAAATTTTATTCGAAACCTGGTCATCCAGTAAATAACACTGTTTCACTCACCGTGTGATATATCTAATAAACAAACTAATATGGAATTAGTTTGTAGGTATTTGATTTGTTTCAGGTTTGATCATGAGGACGAATACTGTCAATTGACTCTGACTGGTGGTCAGGCTGATAATTAGGAATTCGTAGAAGCTATAATCCATGGGACATTGGATGGGGCCCTAATGGCTGTATAGTCTAGGAGTTTGTCTTGTAATCGCAAGGCCCCGAGTCGGCACGATGATATATGGATACTGTTGAACAGTTTCAAGCTAGGAGGAAACAGCTGTCGAGTACTCCCTGGATTCCAGTGGTTCGCTAACTGATATCCATCAATCCGTGGTCGAAAATGAAACGAATCAAATCCTTACAGACAAATACTTGAAAATATATTTTATTGTTAATTGTAATTACAAACTTTTGTTAATATCAGTTATCAAAACTAAATGACTAACTTTATAAGAGATAAAGAACGCTACACAGCATAACAAATTTGGAAGTGATGCATCTACCTTAATTAATAACTTCAATAATAATATGCACACAGACACACACGCAACTGTCACTGTCAGCACAGTGACAGTGAGCTTACTTCCATTGGCATTTATTGGCATTGCAGTTATTGAAAAAATGAATTTACTCTGAATAGTTTGCATGTTTAGGTACATATTACAATCACAAGCAAAAGTGAGGCACTGGGATCGTATTCATCACAAAAGTCATATTCTCTATTAATAACTAATAAATAACGAACTTTGAAGAACTCACAATCTATATCTTTTAAAAAAAGCTTGGGCTTTTAGTTTCATTGGTGGGGTAAGGTTGCTAGCCTCGCTCCCAGCCATCCACCTTTACCGAGCTTACTACCGGCAAAGCCGGTTTTAGCAGTTTGTCTGTCTGCCTGCTTTCAACATAGAAGTTTGCACATATGTTCGGCAGTTCAAGTCGCCACACTCCTTGTAGCACACAAAGTAAGAGAAGAAAGTAGGAGAAATGCTAATTAGAGACAGTAAACAGAGGTGTGAGACAAAGGAATAGTAATAACGAAGAACAAAACAGTTTAATTGGAAATCATAAGTCACAAGGAATGGGTGCATCTGCGTCAGCCATTGAGAACGATTTTGAGCCATGTCACCAATTGTTTCCAACCATTGGTTTTTACCGTCCCGAGGACCCGAACCAGGAGGTTTACACCTTCCTACGTTACTTAGACTAACTGTTGTAGATTTCATTGACTGGTGCCATGTATTGTTCTGACCGCCGCTAGCTCTTTTCCAGCCTGACCGTATGTAAGCTAACATTGCCCGTTGAGGAAGGTGATGACTAGGCATACGTAACACATGTCCTAACCAACTCAGTCGATGTAATATCACAGTTTCGTCGATTGATTTCCCTTTTTTACCTAGCACTCGACTGATGCCTCACCTTAATATTGCTCACCTTATTATACCACTTCACATGGAAGATATAACGCAGACACCTATGGTCAAAGACAGCTAGCCAGGCTTTTCATGTTTTCCACTCTCAATGGCCATGTCTCACAGCCATAAGGAAGGACGGAGAGGACTGCTGACCATTACACACGCCCTTTGGTCGGTAGTCTGATATCACGTCTACGCCAGAGACGGCGTAAACTGGCATATGCGAAACTAGTCCTCTGTATCCGTGCTGAGATATCGCCGGAAATCAACCCGTTGGGGCTGATAGTACTTCCCAAGTAAGTGAAGCGGTCAACGTGCTCTACCACTTCACTTCCTATTTCTAATATAGGAGTCGGTGTTGTCCAATCCTGCAACATCGTCTTACATTTTACAGGGGCGAATCGCATGTCAAACATACGAAGATTGCTGATCAGTGTGTTCAGAAGACTCTGCATTTATCGGGAAGGATCAGACTCTAGACCACATGTAGGATGGATGGAGAGTATTTTGCTGGAAAACCATGGCGACACACCAGGTTACTGAAGTACTCAAAATAATAAGGGAACAAGAGTTTTGATACAAATGTTCTGATGTCTTTAATCATCGCAAATATTCGTTGGATATCGGGGACGGACGTCCATTGTTCTGATATGTGTATGTTGTCTACTCAAATATTTATCATATTAAATAACTGTATCTTTAAGGTATTTCTGGGCACTAGAATCCAATAAAGTTGTTATTTACTGATCGGAAAACTTCGCCTTTTACAACTAATTCGTAGATACAAAGTCAAATCAACCAGATCACTGAAAAATATGAACGTAAGAGGCAGCTTAAGTCAACTGAAGAAAAGCATTAGAGGATTTTAAGAAAAAATAAAAGCATTGTGAATTTCTACTTGAGAAATATAACAATAATAATAACCACTTGGACCCGATGTAGAATGACCGCCAACTATGCACATGAACCTGGGTTCGGTCCCCTGCCGACGCACACTTGATATCAATAGTCGGCCTGGAAAATTTGGGCTACCGATATCACATGTTGGAAATTTCATACCTGTACCAAAAATACGGTGTGGAATCAAGCTGTTATCAAAAATATAAAAAAATTCGATGGCCAGCCAGCTCATGAATTCTAACTTCTACCAATTCGTGATTTAGAGCGACCACAAACCAATGTCATTGGTGGGAAATTCATCCTCACGCTAGACTGGATGGACCTCAATGGTCTCGACTTAACACCAGAAATTCAGGAAACGCCATCCTGTAGCAAGTCACCAGCGAGCATCAGATTAATTTTAGGTTCGAACCCTGGCAGTGGGTGCATGATGCCGATGATTTCCAAACTAGTGTGAAACAGCTGTCCAGTACTAACAGCTGGCTTTCAATGGTTCTGTAACTGACATCAATCCGTGATCAACTCGTAAAAACAAATCTAATCCTCACAGACCAACTATTTATAATAATAATAATAATGGTAAAGATAACGGTCACTTTATTCCAAACAATAATAATTATTTAACAGAATGGAATTTCCAATGTATCTTTGCATATCGCAATAATTTAGCTCCTTTCATGTATGTTCATAAAATTTAAAATAGTAATAATAATAATAATGTTAATAATGAAACCACTAGACACAGAACGTTGCTGAAAACATAATGAAGTATAAGTAGATAGTATCATAGATAATAGTAATCTTTTCTTATGCTTTGCAATTCAGCTGCTGATATAGAAAACTTTAT